GAATAAATGAAAAAAAGCAAAAAAGCTTGGGAATGAAACCCACCGTTTTCATTTTCCTCTGAATATAAGCTGCTCATTTGTATCTCTGAGCAGTTTTGTCTTATTTATGTCACAGTTTGAAGAACTTTGCTGGGTCCCGTTATTACTCTGTATACTCGAGTGGTCGGATTTCTTTCTCTTTATTCAGGCATCATTATTGATTTTTTGACAGTGTTTAATATTAAAAGTTATAAATCTACATGCAGTGGAACCATTTCCCCATAAATATCGGAGAAAGTGGAAATGCAACGACTCTGTGCAAGGAGGAACTCCTGGTGTCACCGTTGTTCAGCAAGCAGGCCCAGGCTGCTTGAAAGATGACATGTCACAGCTTTGAACCCACACTCGCGATAGAAGTAGTCAAGCAAACTTTAAAAAAACGTTATGCAGCTTAAAAAATATTTTTGTCACAAATCAAATGTCAGTGGTAAGTGTGATGTTTATGGAGTGCAGCCGCTCTGTGTGATGTTACGTGTGAAAAAATAGAAGTGCTGATATATTTGGATCAGACAATACTTTTTTTTTTTCTTGGACACCCGTTTATTTGGAGGATACTTTTGGAGTACCAGCAAGTCCAAGTCCAGTTGGAAAGTTCCATCTGCTCTATCCCTTAACTGCTTATGTTTTCTTACCATCTCTACTGATGTCATCTCAGACCAAGCCACCACCCGATTTTCTTCTGGATAATAGATAATAGCAACACCCTACTGGTCTTCTTGCAAGCATACCTGGCCTTCCTTCCATCCAATCTCTGCCCTGCTGTCAGGCTATTTACTTCCTATCTTCTGCATAAAACCCTGAAATGCCTTCCCTTTTTTTTTTTTTTTATCGGTTAGGGTTTGTTCAGGGAAACAAAACAGCTATGAGTGAAATGCAACAAAGGATTTATGACAGGGATTAGACCTTTCATCCTCGTGAGAGAAGTTGGGGAAGTGAACTGAAAATCAATTCACCAAAAATCAATGTGCCAGTTTGACCATTGCATTTAAAATTGTGAGACTAGTAGCTTCAACCAGGTCTACAGCCCGGTACGGCGGAGGAAAGGGCAGGAGAAGAGCATACGTCTGTGAAAAAAGGATAGTATATTGTATTTAACACAGACTCCCCTCATTCACAGGTAAGGAGTTAGAGTTCTGGAAATGCTACTCTCTGAAATGTGAAATGCAACAGAAACGTGTGTTCAACCGAAGCAGACAGAATTATCTTAAGCGTGCAGGCCAGGGTGAAATAGCTGTGGGGACAGCTCAGTGAGATGAAACTAAAATTGCCCCCAAACTACACTCCTCCACACCAAATCTTTCACAATTTAGCAAATTTTCTAAAT